GCGCGGGCGGCGGAGATGCGCGGGCCAGGCGGGCCGGCCGTGGGCCTCGCGGGCCGCGGCGGCGGAGGGACTGGCGGGGCCACGTGTCGCGCGCAGGTTGGCTGGACGCAGCGGCGGGACGAAACGGACATGTCCGGGCGCGGTGGGATGTGTCCGGCGGCGCGATGGAGAAGAAGGTTAGGGTTTCATCCGCGAGAATTTTGGGGATGGCCACATATTTATAGGTAGAGGGAGCTAGGAGAGTCCAAATGTGGTGTGGTTTGCGGCCACGCGATCGTGATCGAACGCTCTAGACGATGGAGAGGGTTTAGGTGGGTTTTGGGCCAAATTGGAGGGCTGTTGGGCTGCAACACACACGAGGCCTTCTCGGTCCCTCGGTTAACCGTTGGAGTATCAAACGAAGTCCAAATGGTACGAAACTTGACAGGCGGTCTACCGGTAGTAAACCAGGGCCGCTTGGAAAGTCTCGGTCCAATCCGGAAATGTTTAATCCCCACACACAATAAGAAGGTAGAAATGACCACCGGAGGAGAACGGAGCGCCGGAATGCAAAACGGACAACAGGGAAAATGCTCGGATGCATGAGACGAACACGTATGCAAATGAAATGCACATAAAGACATGATATGCAATGCATGACACGCAAGCAATGACAAAGCAACAACAGCGAATAACTGGACGACACCTGGCACATCGGTCACGGGGCGTTACACCTTCTCCCTCTCCGGGCCGCCACCCGAGCCCGTCCACCTCCCCCCACCGCTATCCCATGCTCTCCGGCATCGCCATGGTTTGGCGGAAGATCACCATGTACGCCATGCTCACGCCGAAGGCAGATCGCAGAGGAGATCTAGGCAAGGCACGTCGCCCGCATTGCTGCCAGGTTGCCTCCGGACTCGCCGGAGCCGGAGGAGGAGAAGCAGCAGCCGATGAAGAAGGAGGGAGAGCAGTCGCCGGAGATGATGGAGGTGGCGGATCTGGAGGAGGACCAAGCGGAGCAGCCTGCTTCGGGGTTCAACATGGCAGAGGCGGAATTCGCCATAGCCCAAGCCATAGAGATGGTAGAGTAGCAGGCCATCCAGGATGAGGCCTATGTGGAGGCCAACCGATAGTTCTCCGACAGGAGCAGACGGCGTCCGACGCGTTCTTCGCCGAGCTCGACGCGGAGATAGAGAAGGAGGAGGCTGGAGCAAAACATCACGAGTGGAGGTGGTGCGATGGCACAACATCGTAAAGAGGCAACGCTTTTGGGAGATGGTTGCAGTGGCAGAGAATTGGAAGTAGTGGTTGCGGCGAGGAAGAGGAAGACGTGAGGTTTCTTTGTGAGGAAGGTAACGGGAGTTCCCGGGGAGGTGTTTTTTGGTGACGGTACAAACAAAAAACCGAGATATTTCTTCGGTCCAGCATGTGACAGGTGGTCTAATGGCAACGACGAAGACCAAAATTTCCTACCCAACCCGTGCGGCTCCTAGAAACAGTACATCAAGTGAAACGGTGTCCAGTGCCGATGTGTATAGCACGAGCAAGGCCGCTGCATCTCGCTCTTGTTGGATGTAATGCGTGGTCTAACTTGTGATGTGACATAAATAAAATATTGCCACAAGTGTGGCAAGAAGACAAGGGTGTGTTTGGTTTCAATAAAGTCACCTGACTCATAAGTCAGGTGACTTAAAATCAGTGACTTATAAGTCACGTCTGTTTGATTGTCATCTGACTTATAAGTCACCTGACCACATCATTTCACCTTATTTTTTAATGTAAAGGTGATGGGACCCATATAAAAAGGATGACTTATAAGTTTTAAGTTGGGATGGAGCAACTTATAATTTATAAGTTGGGATGACTTATAAGTTGGATCCGTTTAGCAAAATAAGTCACTTTTAACACTTTTCGACTTGTAAGTTGGTGATTTATTTGGAACTAAACAGGGCCTAACTCAATCAAACTGGTATAACTTGTGACGTGACAAACTGACAATGTGCGACAACTTAAACCAAACACGTCCCAAATGTTACTAGAATATTTTACTCTTTTACATACCGAACATTCAACCACAGCAGAAAATTCACACGGCCCGATTCAAATTAAAGCATAAAAAATCTTGCGCTGGCGATGGGGTGGGCAGGTACAGCACGTGGGACCAGTAACACGAGGAGTTCCCTCTTCAATGGAAGCATCGGGCGCGGGCCCCACTCGTCATACCCCAACCGGAGCGACGCCCACCCTCTCTCTCTCTCCCTCCTTTAAACCCCAGGGGACGGCGTACAGTGGACGCCAACCAAACCAAAGGGGGAGGCGACTGGCGAGAGAGCAGCGGGGCAGCGGGACGGCAGGCGGAGAGGGGCGCGGCCGTCTTCCCAAACCCGTAAGCACCTCCCTCCCTCCAGAACCTTCTAGAACGTGCGCCCGCCCTGACGCGCCCCTTGCTTCCGCGCGCTCGTCGCTGCATCCGGTGCTTCGCCTTCCCCTCGGGGGCCGTTCGCCTGTTCGGCAGGGTTGGTGCTTCCGTTCCCGATCGAGTTAGGGTTCGTTTGGTTGCTCGCGGCGGCGCGCGCCGCGCTGTGCGATCTTCGATTTCAGTTCGGTTGCGCGCTCGGTTCCCTTTCCTGTGCTCGTCCGCGGCGGTTAGGCCCGTCATTTCGGCAGTTTGGTGTGTTTTTTCCCCTCAAACTGATGGACGCGGAGTAGGTGTCCTTGTAGAAATTTCCGTCTCCACGAGATTCTCGGAGCATGTTCCTCGAGACCTAGGCCGATTTTCCGCAATGCCGGTGGTCTCTGCTTCGATTTGGTCCTCCTGGCTCTCGTTTGCTTCGTTTTTTTTCGGGGGCGAGTTGTGGGGATTAGGTTGTCCGATTCGATCTCTCCGCCTCGTTTCGGGATGATTGATTAGTTCGGCTCTCTCGTGCGGGGTGTTCCCTTGCCCCTCGTGTGCGCCTGATTGTTGATTCCACAACTGTCATTCACAATCTGTGCAAGTTTGTTCTGCCCATTTCTGCAAATCTGCGACAGGGTTGTGTTTTGCGCTTGCAAGCTGCTTGTTGGTTTACCCAGGCAACCCTGATTCGTCATTTGTTTTCGTGGGTTTTGTTGTGGTTTTGACCCGTCGTCTATAGGTTCTGAGGACTGGCATCGCGCGGTAGCAGTGGTGGTTTTAGTTTGTTGCTTGGATTCGTTTTGATTTGTGCCGGTTGTTTCTGTTGCTACCTCCAGGAGTACGGGTGGCAACGCTTCTATCTGTTCCCTTCCGGTAGGATATATCCCTGTGAATTATGATTCCCATCAAGCGCCTGAAGAATGTCCGGTTTCTGAAAAATATTGGAACATCAAATGCGTGCCATCATGTTATTGTTGTGACCCTTCATGTTGTTTCTGTGCTGAGATTATGAGATTCTTATAGGACCATACAGTTCATTCTCTTTCAGTCTATCACACACAGTTTGTACCAATATCATGATTATGCACCAAACATATTACGGTTAGTGGTTCATTCTATTTGATATCATTAGCTTTACTATTACCTGCCGTAAGGATGATCTGTACTTCATTATTTACAGAGATAACCTAGCAAGAAAACAACACAGCATCTCAGACTCAACTGACAATTGTTATGTTCTATTGCATGTTTTTGTAAGTAGCATCTAAGATGAATCACACAGTGCATTTGAATTGGCACTGTGTAATGTATTTTTGGAGTTTTACCATTTGTTTTGAAACTTCTACTGTTTCTTGTATTGATAAATATGTGCACTACAGTTCATATTTCTCCTGTTCATTTGAAATGCACTCTTGATATTCTTCTGTTGAGATGCTAGTAAGTTTGTTCGCCCTGTTTCTGTATATAATCTGCAACAGGTTTGTGGTTTGTGCTTGCAAGCTGTTTGTTGTTTTATCCAGGCAACCCTGATTCGCCATTTATTTTGGTGGTTTTTGTTCTGGCTTTGATCCGTCGTCTATAGTTGTAAGGAGTGTCAACGTGCAGTAACAATGGTGGTTTTAGTTTGTTGCTTGGATTCGTTTTGATTTCTGCCGGTTGTTTCTGTTGCTGGCTCTAGGAGTCCGGGTGGTAACACTTCTCTCTGTTACCCTTTGGGTAGGATATATCCCTGTGGATTATGATTTCCATTATAAGCGCGTGAAGAATATTCGGTTTCTGAAAAAACATTGTAACCTCAAATGCCGAGACTGAGATTCTTCAAGGACCATAAAGTTTATTCTATTTCAGTATGTTGCCCACGTTTTGTACCAAAATCATGATTATGCACCAAACATGTTACAGTTAGTGGTTCATTCTATTTGATATAATTAACTTTGCTATTACCTGCCATAAGGACAATCATTACTTCATTGGTTACAGAGATAACCAAGTACGAAAATAACACAGCGTCTCAGACTCAACTGACCATTGTTATGTTCTGTTGCATGGTTTGTAAGTAGTATCTAAGATGAATCAGGCAGTGCATTGAATTTGCACTGTGTAATGTATTTTTGAAGTTTTACCATTTTTTTGAACTTCTACAGTTTTGTGTATCGATAAATATGTGCACTGGAGTTAATGTTTGTCCTGTTCATTTGAAATACACTTCATATTCTTCTGTTGAGCAGGCTCAAATATATTTTACTTGGTTCTTCTTTCAGGAGGGTCCTCACCATGGATCTTTCCAGTTCACTGGCTTCAACCAGTGATGAAGAGACAAGGGCACTTAATGCATTGCTTGATGCTTTCAGTTGTGCCTTTTCACTTGAAGATATAGCCAATGCATACTGCAGAGCAAATGGCAATGTCAACAAAGCTGGGGATTTCTTGACTGACCTTCAACTTTCGATGCCCCAGAGTGATGAAGTTGACTCGAGCGTTGAGACCAATCTTCCCCAGTTTGGTAAGGCAGTTGAGGAAAATTCTCTGGACAACTCAAACCAAACAAGGAATCTTTCCTGTGTCGGGAAAGCAGCTGAAGAAAGCTCTGTGGAGAATTCAAGCCAAACAAGAACACGTGAGAAGTCACAGAAGTCTAGTGCTTCATTTGGCACTGTATCCAGCATGTTAGGAAAAGGATCTGCCCGAGCTACTACAGCTCCTGCCAATACAGCACCAGGAAAAGGAAAACCTATAAAGGTTGAACTGCCAGAGTACATGCGAGATGATTTGAAAACAGATGAATCTGATTCTGCACCAAAGAGAGAGACTTTGAATAACAGAGATGTTGAGGAATTCCTATTTTCTATGCTTGGAGAAGGTTTTAAGCTCAACATGGAAGTGATCCGTGATGTTCTAGGTAAACTTTTTGTGCAATGCAAAGTCATTTTATCCAAAAAGTGTTATTTGAAGCCACATTTTTAATGTGCTAACTGCTGAATTGTTTTTGCAGGCAGCTGTGGGTATGACATGAAGAAGGTAATGATAGATCGTTGCTGTCAAGATTATGCACTTTCTGTTTGGTCCTGATTGTCATTAATGTGGCAGAAGGGTTTATATTTCTGGCTTTATAGTAGGCAGCTTCATATACCGTATGTTTTTTGGCATGGTATTGACTGCAATTTTATGCAGAGCATGGAGGAATTAATGTCATTTTCTACAAAAGATCTAGGCAAAAGGCCAGAGAATGAGCATATTGCAGTACAAGTAAGCTTGTTCACCCCCTTCCCCTTCTTACTGATTTGGCATCTCCCATATGGTTTTGTTTGAACTTCATAGTTTTTGTATTGAGCTTTCTTTCTATAGTGCTTGTTAATTCTCTGTGCTGTTCAGCTGAAATCTTCTGACGGACTGCTTGTTTGTTATGAATTGCTGCGCCATTACTTACTGAAATTTTGGAAACTGGCTTTAGTTGTTCCCTTTTACCGTATCATTTGATCATTTTCTTGTGTTGATGCATTTTTGTTGAGTTGTAAGATTGAAGTTCGTAGTCGAGTCGAGTACCCTGGATACTATCACTTTGTGGTCCATTCCAATGCTAGTGCATGCAAAGGTTCCTTCTGTAGGCTGGATATTTTGACAAATAATTATGTTCCACTCCCTCCGTCCCTAAATATAAGCCTTTTAGAGATTTCAATACGGACTACACACGGATGTATATAGACGTATTTTAGAGTGTAGATCACTCATTTTGCTCTGTATGTAGTTTGTATTGGAATCTCTAAAAAGGCTTATATTTAGGAACAAGGATGCACTTTCATTTGGTAAACATGTTATAAGGATTTGATTGATATTTAGCCCAAATATATTTCTTTTGCAGGACATGGCGGTAGAATCCTCTTTTTCCATGGGGAGTTGCCTAGGATCACAATACACATCTAGGTTTGTACTTTCCTCTCTTTGTTACTGGTTTATTCCTTTTTGTTCCATCACGAATGTGACTTTTTGCTTCATCCGTCATTTCTCTTTGCGTGGATGGTGACTTAACCCAAGACCACAGATTACCCCTGGAGAGTTACTAGAATCAATATTCACTGCACCTGAAAGATCTGAGGAGGAACCAAAAGTAAGGCGGTATGAATTGGGCGCAAATCGAAGGAGAGTTCCAGATCAGAAACCAGTCGTAAAACCTCTTGAGGACATTTCACCACCCTCTACAGATCTTCCGGTGAAAATTATCCTAGGCAGCATAGGTATATTGTTTATGCTTGGACCTCCTTTTTTTTGTAATTTTTTGTTAAATTATGTACTTTTTGAGGAAAAGACCTGGCAGAAAGTTGCATCAACATTGTTAGTTAATCATGTAATAACAATATTTACTGTTGACGCAAAGCTCTAGATCTTTTAAAGCTGACAGATAAACCAACTATCATGCATTAAAAATTCAGCTCACTATGCTAAAGAGCTCTGTTCAGCAATGTAAAAGTAATAAAATATTATTTTCTCTCTATCCTATGCATAAATTAAAGCTATCAGTAATGCTGAGCTCTTGGCCATAATGATTCACCAACTTGGATCTGGTTCTCTCACGAAAATCCCGAGTTGCAGAGATGAGAACCATGAAAAGCAAGATCCCGAATAAGAAAATGCTACTTTCATTCACATCTTTGTACTGAATGTATGTATTAGGATTTTGGTCACACGTACTCCTTCGGCAATGCATGATGGAAAAGCTACAATTACTCCTTGCTACCTGTTCTTGAAATAGTTGATATATTCTTGGACTTAGGAATGACATCTGCATATGATTTTTTTTGCTTATTCTATACTTTAGTAACATATTACAATGATTCCAAGGAACCAGTTATTGTTAGGTTACAAAACCTTTGCAGCTTGATACTGATGTTACCAGATGTATTCGATTTGACATAATTAAAGTACATAACCAGTTAACATACTTATTCTGTACTGATGTCATATGGCTTTTTCGGGCTGAAATATGGTCAGACATACATAATCAGCAAATGGTTTTGTTTGTGTTGTATGCTTCATGAACATCATTTTAAAAGTACTCCTTCAGTAAACAAATATGAGTGTTTAGATCACTAAAGTAGTGATCTAAATGCTCTTATATTTCTTTACAGAGGGAGTAATTTTTAAAAACTGTGAATATGAAGCCTCTCTAAGTCAGCTGGTCTCTGATTCTTGTTTCATGCTATGAACCATTTATGATGTTCATCACTATCATTTATGTATTTTGGGTACATGTAGAACCAGTTGTGCGCGATGAGGATGATTACCAGAACTATCGTAAGGCTGCAAAGCAGCACTGGGATATGATGAAGCAGTACTACGGGAAGGTCAGGGGTGTCTCCATGATGATGATTTACTTGTTATTTTTTATTTTGTGCATATAGTTGTTGTTTTTTCATCTATACTGAAGATATTATTCTGAAAATTACAGGCTGTTGATGCTTTTAGGGAGGGTAACAAGAAAGAAGCCGAGTATCTTATGACAGAAGTAAGTGTTACCTGTCTTTTTGGGCAAGGGATAATTATTGCTGAGCTACTGGAGGGATTAACAAAATTTGATGAAAGTGTTTCAAGCTTTAGTGCTAAATCACTTTTCTGTGGGCTTTCTAGGGAAAAAACTATTATAGGATGGCTCGATTATCTGATGAAAAATCTGCTGCTGAGATCACCAAGTCCAAGTAAGTGCACTTCTTTTCTCATATGGGCTGAAAGTTATTGGATTATATTTGTGTAATATGAATTTGTGATGATGAAATATGTGAGTCCGAATTGACAGAATCAACCTTTTGGTCTTGCTGCAGACAAGAGTCCAAAAATGAGTTATGTCTTGATCTGCGCTCACAGGATGCAGCAAACGTAGCAAATCTTCTGAGACTTCATCTTAGGCAGTTGGCTAACATCCCATGTAATGAAATCGGTACATGACCCTTCGAGTTTCTGACTTCTTTTGATAGGAGTAATTTGATTTACCAAATTTTGCAGCTTTTGAGAATTTGAGAGTTATTATTGGTGTTGACGATGGCACTTTCAAGATGGGACAAAGAAGAAGGAAGGTGTGATGTTCAAAATAACCGGCTAACTGAGTTTTAATTCTGAATTTGCACTAGCTGCATGCATGATCCAGAAATAAATCCCTGCAATGAACTACTTCATGATCCAGAAATAAATCCCTGCAATGAACTACTTCATGATCCAGAAATAAATCCCTGCAATGAACTACTTCTGTTTTATCCAAAGTACTGATAGTAAAAAAAATACTAACATCTAGGTGTTTTACTCTAATATACAATGCGTCAGATGATTGCTTAATTTCATTTTGGGGCCATATTGTGTTTTTCCAAATTTCTCCAGTTGTGTTTCGTTGCAAGCTCATTAATCAAGCCAATGACCAGATTTTGCAAAATTATGTCATATAAAGTTATAAAGATAATCCGAGTTTAACACGGGGGAACTTGAAATATTAATTGTATTCAGTTAATGTGCAGATGTTGTACATTAGTTATTATTGAATAGTAGAAAATTCTCAGAACCATGCTGGTGTATGCTTGTGATTTAAGGAACCCTGCTTAATTCTTATCCTTGTTTCTTTTTTCCTCTGGGTTGCGATATTCTGTCTTATCCTTTGTGGTGCCTTCAACGAGATTGAATGGAAGTGTGCCTGAAGTTTGTGTGTGCACTGCCCATGATTCACTTTCCATGCCTGCTTTATTGGAACGTTTGTTTGGCCAATGCTTGTGAATATGTTATTTGTTTTTGTTATGAATGAGCTTTATAAATCTGATAGATAATTCATTCTGGTGGGTCATGTCAAACAATTTACAAATCGCAGGATTCATTTGAATAGCTGATTTTGCATGTAGATAGTACTGTATGTCTTATATAACTTACTAATGAACTTGAATGACCGCAGGTTGAGAAGTTTCTGGAGAAGAAATCAGTCGAGTGGACCGAAGATGAGGCCAATCCTGGGACCATTCTCATTCCGATTAATCAAGTGAAAGACCAGTGAGTATAGCTTGGTGTACAAAGGTCGTCCGACACAAGCTGACAGAAGATGCTCTTAGCTGCTAGTTTTATCATTTGGTGCCGTTTTGAATCTAGGTGCTTTCTGTTCATTTTGGGATATGGAGGATGGGGAGTGCGCTGCATATCCCTTTTTGTTTACACACAGGAGATATTTCTGGCCGGCCTAAACATTACGATTTGGCTGAGATGATTTAGCTGCAGTCTTAATCCTGGAAACGATCTTCTAATGCTTTCTGCATTTGATTGTTCTAGTGCAGTAGTGACATGTTAACAGATTCGACGAGCAGTAGAGAAAACACAAGATGGCGCAGTAGTTTGTTTATATCCTGATATAATTTTCCGACGAACAAAAACACACTAGAGAAGTAGTAACAAGCTAGCAGGAGTACTATTTATGCGACTAGACTACCAAAATGAGCTGAAGAGTTTGATTCAACGAGCCTAATTGTCTTCTGCAACAGTTCAACTAAAGCCAAAGGACATTTTGCTATGAGCTCAACATACCCTTGGCTTGCCATCAGGTCATTGGTTTCCACTGTACTCAAAGAGGCAATAAATTGAATGCAAGCATCATTCAACCTGCCACAGTGATGCTGATAAGCCAAAGCGAATGTAGTCACCACGGTCTTGGCATCAATGTTCTCACAGAGGATGCTTTCACATATAATCTTAAGCCTCTCCATGGCATACCGATCTGCCGCGACAAGCAAATGCCTGATAGTCTCCTGGTAGCCATCTGGGCCAAGATCATCCATGGCGGGCAGTGAATCAGTGTATATAAAATGGAGCAGGCCCTCAAAGACAGCGGGCTGCATGTCAGCAATGGTAATATGCCTCGTGTCCTTTTCTCTCCTCGCGCCATACAGCTCCGCTTTGAAGACCGGCGACCGCATCGCAAGCACCACCTTGTGGGCAGGAAAAGCTTCCCTTTGGACCTCGAAAACTACGTCGGCGCCCTCTTTCCCGCGCAACAGTTTCTCGAGATGCTCCGTGATGTCGGACGGCGGCACCTTAAACGGCTTGGCGTCCTCGGCAATGGTGATGACACACTCAATGGTGAGGCGGTCGTCCCGGAGGTAAGGCGACGCCTCCAGCTCGCTCCTCCCATGAACTCGAGGAAGCCGGAGAAGAAGTTACTGCCGGAATCGTAACCGTGTGTCCTGGTCATGGTATGCGGCGGCGAGCATCCGGCCACGTTCACCAGGCTGAGCTGAAAGGACGCCCTCACCCTGGCGTCCTTGTCCTTACTGCATAGAAGTAGGAACACTTGCACATAGTCTTTCACATGATCCAGGATTCCTACGGGGCAGAACAAAATCTGCCAGTCGTATCCTCCGACGGCGAACACGGGCGACGCTACGGCGTTGAGGTCTCCGACTCGGTCGCGGTGCTGGCTGTACCCTGGGATCTCGAACACGTGAGAGCCCCAGCCCCGCCGCACCTGCACCGTGTTCGCGGCCACGGGCGAGCCCTGCGCCGTCTTGGTCGAGAGGTGGGAGGCCTGCCCCGTCTTCTTGGCGTGGCGCGTGGCCGACGCTGTGCATCCCATCGCCGCGCTCAGGGGGTTGGGGTTTGCTTGAGACTAATCACAGTGGGGAATAATTTGGAGTAGTAACATGTATATGATACTAGTCTATGTTACTACCTTTACGGTGGGTAGTAACATATGTGTCGTGTCATGCATCATTTCATTTATTACGTTATAGATTTTTTTTTGATATGTGTGATGTTATAGTACTTCCTCCGTCCGGGTTTATTAGGCCTAAAGACAACTTCTTTTAGACCAAGACACATAGTAATTTGCTCACATTAATTCTTTCATTCTACTCCCAATGCACTCTCTCACATGCATGCAGCCAATGAAAAAGCATGCATGAAGTGTATTAATTTTCCGGCCTTAGCACCAACAATAATGACTTTCAATGCAACCAATGAAATGGCTGCATGCATGCACCTTTCCAAAGCAAGGCCTTATAAAAAGGGACATGCTTGTGATGCTGAGAGGCCTAATAAACCCGGACGGAGGGAGTAACTAGCTATGTTACCACATGCCTTTCTTTCTTCATTAATTACATGCCACATCATCTATTTTGCCTAGATAAATATATGTTACCACCTATATTACTCCCACTGTGGGTAGTCTGAGGAGAGCACGGGAAAGACGTACGAAGCGGGCGGAAGAGCGCGCAATCGAGGCCCTTTTGTATAGGAGAGAAAAAGGTAACCACGGGGCCCTTGCCTCGGTTTGGACTAGGACTCTTCCCTTTGTTGTGGGAGAAAAAAAGGTAAGCGGGACGTCGGTCCTCATGTCGTGATTCTTTTTACCCAGATTTTGACCTTATTTGTTGAATCTGAAACGAACAACTATTTCAAATGAGCTTAATAAGCCAGAATCTGATTTGGGTCTTTTTGGTGTATTTTCCTAGAGCACGTCCCACGAATCAGCTTTGCGTGTGAAGCAAATCCACAGCTGATTCTAGAGAAGTTAAAACTAAATAAAATCAACAAGGCAAGTCTATTTTCCTCCACCCAAATATATAGAGGGATGGTCGTGACGACGACACCACCCGCCGGCCGGGAGGGAAAGGCAGGAGGTTGGGGCAGGGTAGGTGGGTGGCGCGAGGAGAAACAAATCACGTGTGGTGAGAAGAAGATAAACAATGGCTTACGGGAGGAAGGAGAAGCTCATCTAACTTACTGTTGTTTTGTTAAAGGGCTGACAACAACATCGAGTGAGCAAAACATCTTTTCAGACACTTGATTCATAGGTGCTCCTTATTTATATACTACTCCCTTCTTTCCGGTTTATAAGGCTTATTTCAACTTTTTTTGTTTTTTCAATTTAAAGGGCCCATCTTCATCTTATTTTTAGTTTTCGAGACGCATTAAATCTTTGCATGCAAGAACTAAAAAGATACACACCAATGAATGTAATGTTTTTACTCATCTAGTGGCCAAGCATGTATGCACTGCAATTAATCCAAATTAATGCATGAGTTTAATTTGGATAGTTTTGTAAAATACGAGATACATTCTTACACTTACAAAATGCCTTGGTTGATCAGATTTCAGATTTGAGCCCTGCAAACCGGAAAGGAGGGAGTACAACACATCTTCCTCTTCTCGAGGCACTGAAGCCGCATCTCACCATTGACCACCAACTGCACAATGTGCCAGCCGCACATACCGTGTACTTTCCTACCATTGCTTCCGGGTGATTCTAGCCTCCATAGTCCAAACTCCGAATCAGTATGCTGTCATTATCTTTGATAGAAATAGGTTGCATGCTCTCGAGCTGCGTGCTATGAGCAAAGCTTGTTGCTGCTTCTAGGCCATCACCGTTTCAACAGAGGAAACCGATTTAAACTGGGGAATAAGCAGCGACCGATAAACTTTCGATGTAGACCAGAAGATGCCGAGAACAAAACACCAGAGATGGCTGTATAACGCCCTAGGTCGGGCCAAGATGGGAACACAACTCTCACACACTTCCCAACGAGGCCGATGATGACCAATCTTCGCCGGTCAGAATTGGAGTCGGAGGACCAAGGTTTAGCTAGTGTTGTCGAAGCTATGAAGTATGGCCGTGGGGACTTGGTAATTGGCATTGGTCGATATGGCGGTGCTCTACGAGTAGCAGATCACAAGCTCGGGGGATGACACCTCTAGTTTTGATCTTTATTGATTCTACCTGGCATAGGCAGTTTTTATGTGTCGTTCCTTGTTAAAAAACCATTACTTGGATATTGCTTACACTTGCTCTCTGGAGCTAAAACCATGATCTGACTTTAGTGGTTGGATCAAACAATGCTTGTGCTTGTGCCTCATTTCCTTTGTGGATGGTTTGCTTGGGGAGAACTTTCTTCTGGGTGTTGCCAACCATATTGGTTGATGTTTTCATGATGCATCTCATTGATCAGTTGGGCATGACTTCTAGGGCTTCAATTGGGTATGTCATCATTGTCTTCTCTTTTTGTTTTATTTTAATAATTTGTTTGCGTGCATCTTGATGTCCCCCTAGCTTTTGACATTGAATTGTTGTAGAATCCGGTTGTACTAAGTATCAATTTGCAATTAATACTGTAAGTGCATCTAGTGCCTCTTAGTGATTTTGGTGTATTGAAGACTTATAGGTTAAGGGACTAATGCGTTTGAGAGTGTACACAGGTCTATAAGTCTATGAGGAGTTTGATATTTACAGGAAAAGGCGACCCCTAAAAATAAATATCTTTGACTGAAGATTTTGGTATTTCTGAAGACTTTCATGAAGACTTTGAAAGTGAAGAAATTGGTGTGTCCGTGAAGACTTGATATTCATGCGAGGAATATGAAGCTTGAAGACTTTTGTTTTCATAGTTTTGTTTTTCTCTTTCTTGAGTCATAGAAAACACCGTACTGTTAAAGGGGGTCGAGGAAATATTAAGGAAAAATTTCCATGTGATGCTCAACTCAAAATCCTACATCTACCAATCCCTTCGAGTGAAGCCATTGGAAATCTCGTTCAGTCAATTTCTTTAGTGACAGAGACGAAGTTCTTCTGGTCTCTGAGGAATTTGTCCTGACTGAGGAGTTAGGAATTCGCCAGTGCGGATTGCCTACACAGTGAGGAACATGATAGGCCTGAGGATTTTGCTACTCAAAATTCCGACCGTTGTTGTGCTATGCGCCAGCTGTCCCAAAATATCTATCCACCTAACGGTCATATCATTGAAGGGCATTTATGTCTTATCATGTCGGGTTGCTCCCTAGGCTATAAATAGTCGCCCCCTACAACCACTAGCTGGTTGGCTGCTCCGAGAGAAACTGACACTTGTCATTTGAGAGCAACCCATCCTCTGAGAACTTTGAGCGAAAATCATCAAGTGAGGAAAAACCCAAAACCCAAAACCCAAACACCTACAAACCCCAAGTGATTGAGCATCACTGAAGAGATTGATTCTGAGTGGATCCGACGCTTGTTACCTTTGAAGACTGTGCTTCTTCCAGACGGTTAGGCGTCATGGTCTAGAGCATCCAAGAGGAATTGTGGATCACCGAGTGACCAAGTTTGTGAAGGTTTGGAAGTCGCCTAAAGACTTACCACGAGTGATTGGACGAGGTCTGTGTGATCTTAGTTCAAGGAGAATACGGTGAGGACTGGGTGTCCTGAGCTGCGTGTTCAGGACTGGGTGTCCGAGACTGTGTGTCCTC